AATGGTCAGGGAAGTCTTCACTAAGAAGTTAGTTTTTGGACAAAAATGAAAGGATCAAACGATGGTAATATGTAGGGGAAATGCATCTCAGGCAGAGGGAAGAGGAGGGGCAAAGGTCCTGAGGCAGCCATGCACACTGGTGGGTTCAGGGACCTGCAAGGAGCCTGTTGTGGGTGGAACAGAATGATCGAGGGAGAAAGTACTGAGGTTTATGGATAAAGGCGATATGGCAGCTACATTAGGGCCTCACAGGAGGGTAAGAACTTTAGCTTTTACTCTGAGTGAGATGAGGAGCCACCGAGGGTTTGAGATGAGCCATGCCATGACCGGGCTGCGTTTAAAGGGATCTTCTGGGCTCCTGAAGTGGAGGAGGGTGGTTATGAAAAATCCAAACTAGAGATAGAGAACAATTAGAGCAACAGAAAAGAGGGAGACAATGACATAGGAAGAAAGGGTAGAATTGTCTTCCTTCATTCATCAGACATATGAGTGCACTGTTGGGTGCTGGCTGGGAGGACAGAAATGAGTTAGACACAGATTCTGCCCTCACAGGCAATGCCCACGAGGGCATCAAACATATGCAGAAATCACTCCAATACACACAAGAATGCAATGAGCGAGGGGCAAGTGTTCGTCTTGTTTGGCAAAGGGGGTGAGGGTGTGGACTGAAGCAGCCGGCCCAAAAACACAAGCTCCATGATGGCTTGCGTCCCGCCCCTGCCAGACGGCCAGACGCCAGCACCCGAAACAGTGCTTGGCCCCGGGACCAGAACATATTTGTTACCCAATGACCGAGCGATTGCCGTGTGCAGATATGTAGGGAGAAGGGCACCGAGCAAACGCAGCACCATGAGCAAAACCACAACTATGAAGAGTTACAGTCCAACTTGGCAGAAGCGAATGAGAGGAGTGGAGATGAAGCTGGAGCCACAGAGCAGGGTTAGGTCGCAGCGGGTCCTGTGGAGCCACCAGGACTGTGGCGGCAGTAAGAACAGAGGGGCCGCCAAAGCTTCCAGCAGCGGGAAGAGCCCACTGAGCTGGAAGGAGGGTGTGAGCGAGGACCCAGCCCGCTGCTGGGTGGGTGGACTCTAGCAACCGGTTTGGATGATACTGTGAAAACCTCCAGGAAAGGTGACGAGGGCTCCATCAGGCTAGGGCCCTTGGCCCCTTTGCCAGGAGCACTTCCGCTGTCCTGAGCATCTGTAGACGTGTGTTTATTTGTACGGTGATTGTTTTCATGGTCTATCTGCTTTTCTTCACTAGAAACATTCAGTACGGGTGGAGGACGCCTATCTTCATCCCCCCATTTTCCTTGTTCCCTTCACTCCAGCCATCAAGCACCTGAGGTTTAGCTGCACACAGAGCCAGCAGACAGACACTGCGTCCAGCCTCTCCTGCAGCTGGTTGAGGCCATGAGGTGAAGGTTTGGCAATGGAAGTGAGCGGAAGTGGCCAGTGCACCTTCTGCCACATCCCTTCCCTGTCCAGGGAAGCGCTGGCTCTCCTTTCCTGCCTCCCTTCTTGCAGGCGGCTCCTCCCCCTTTTTCTCCTGCAGGACATCGCTGTTGGAGATTATGCCCTTTTGGGACTAGAGACCTTTCTTAGGCCTTTTTCATGACGGGGGAGGGGGGCAGGTGGGGGTGGGGGGAAGAGTGGCTGCAAGGATCTATCTTTCATTGGCTTTTTCAAAAACAAAAAAGACAGGCCTGTGAATCAATTCTGTCCCGTGGAACGTGAGTGAGATGCAGTACAGTGGTGGGTCATGCTCCTACAAGGAAGTTCTCCGCTTCCTCTCGCCCCCTCCCCCAGGGCAGAGATTTGGCCCTGGCGGCGGTGAGCCCACCCTGACCCAGGGCGTCATCCTACAGGATACGAAGCAAGAATACACAAGAGCCCCATGTCCCTGGACCCACCTCATGGGGAAGGAGGGCCCAGCCTCCCTGGGCTGTGTACGGGCTTGGGCTTGTGTATGTGAGAGAAGCAACTTCCATCCCAGTGACGCTGTCAGCATTTGGTCTCTGTTAACAACAGCCAATCAGTACCTTAACACATCCCTTATAAACACTGACAGTCATGACTATGTGTTGAATGAATATGACTGTCAGTAGAAAAGTCACTATGTAAGTAAACTCATAATAAATATTTTCCCATTCCACTGAGCTTTGAGCATAAAACATTTATAGTATATTGGAAAATAGTAATATACAGCTTCAGTGGCAGTGACGTTCTATATCATGACCTTGGGCCCGTAACGTAGCTGGCTTTGTCACAGGTAGGTGAGCAGGCACAGCATTCATTCACTGTCTGCTGGGCGGAAGCCCGGACACGCTAAGCTCGCTGCTGGCTCCCGATCCCGGCTGTCACGCCACAAACAAGGCCTTTCCGGGGAAAACGGGCCATAAAGCCTTCGCACCCTGAATGTCACATCACTCTTCTCAGGCAAACATCAGCACAGTGTGAGTTTGAGTGTTTTCTGCTGTGGGACGGCTGCCATTGCTGGCTGTGATGCAGAACACAGCGACCATTTCAAGGAAGTCTGGGAACTACTTGCTATGGAAGAGCAACACTTGACACTGGGGTTTAAAACATTTACAGCTACACGTATTATTATTTTGTAAACATGTTTGTGTCTTCGTATTTAAATTTGGACTTTAAATAAGGATGTCAGCTGGCACAGCCCAGCTGATCAAACGTGCTGATGGTCAGGTTCCTGTGCTCCCATCACTGCAGCACCGCCCAGGAATCCACCGGAGGCGCCCAGAGCACCCTGGGCAGAGGCCTGTGTGTGTTCTGTGGAGGAGCACTGGAATGGTGACATTCAATTAGCCAAGTGCTGGAAGTAAGGAACTGAAGGCAAGGCTTCACACTAGGAAAATGGTGTGGGAGTGGGCTTTTAGAACAAGGAATTGTAATTAAGCTGGACACAGGCCTATTATTTTCTGAATAAAGATAAACCTCACAAAGAGAGGGGCATTTTGACTTTATAATGACAAAAGGTCTATACTGCTGAAAACAGAAACATGGACATGTAAATACTGAATATGAAAAAATACTATTTCCTATACCACTGAAGTTGTTCTGTATAAACAGGATTGTCTATCTTTCTTTGATCAAGACCTTATTATTGCTGTTGTCGGTGGTTTTCCTTGGAGCAGTAAGTCCAGGGGCTTTTCTTGCTGATCCTAAATTCCCAGAACTGTGTGTAACAACTTATTAGCTTAACTTAAAAGGAAAGTGTTGATTAAAGGAATAAGTGAATGGCTAAATAACATTTGCATCCAATAGTGATGATTTCCACTAAATCAAGTGAAACAACTACCCAACATGTTTTGAAGATCCCAGTAGAAAAACACATATTAAACAAAGAGATTTTCTTTTAAAAATATGAAAACAGGATAATTTCTGTCAAATAGTTGCTTATAAAGAAGGCTGCTTCATAATCAGGTTTTTTTCTTCTTCTTTTTGAGTCTGTTAAGTACACTTACTACATTTGGCAATACTGAAATACTTGATTTTCCAGAACTATGACTTTAAAGCCTTTTAAAAAGTAAACATGATTATGAACGTGAGTTTATAACAACAGAGAAAGAATCTGACCAATATTTTTTAGGTCTGTGAGAAAATATAACATTGAAAAAATCACTAAGATTATAATCACGAGCTTGAACAGTGATGGTTTTGGGTATTTGCTCATCAGTAGTCATCTTGGCTCCCATGACCACCTATTCACATGAAATACACAAAAGGACTGAAGCTACAACTAGCGGGAGTTTTTGTCTATTTTCAATGATTTTTAACTATTGTAAATCAACTGACCCACATTCCAATGAATGTCATTTGTGTAGCAATGTGGAAATCCGGCCTGGGGCGGTGGGGGGGGGGGGGGGGCTAGAGGTATTCTGTCATTCATGTTTTCATTAAGAAAGTGGTTTCAGAATAGGTATTAGTTTTGCAACATTTATGTAAAACACATAATGTGACACTGGAAAGCAATACCACTCACTTAACTTAATGAGTTGCTATGCAATAAGTCAGATCCTCCCAGAGTGTAAATTATACCATTTGAAAGCTGCATTTATTATTCAATATCTCACTCCCAGACAGGTGCTCGCTCAGTGGTAACCCTGGCTTAGCAAACCTAATTTAAAGCCGTTCACATCTTTTTGTAAAAAAAAAAAAAACCTATCACACATGTAGCTAAACCACTTATTCCCCCCCCAACAGTATTAAAACTATTTTAATTACTTCAAATAATAAAAATGAGATATGAGTTGTATTAATAGCCAGAGATGCTTGAACTGAAGCTTGAATTTTTAAATTTGTCATTTAAAAGGTGTCTTGAAATACACATATTAAGTTGCCTTTCAATATTCTAACAGGCCGATAAGCATTTTGTAAGAAAGAGTGTGGTTAGAATAAAATGCTAGGATGATTCTGACATTTCCTAGGTTGAATTGATGAGACTTCTTATTGTAGGTTATTTAATGAGTTTATGATTCCAGCTCATAAGCACTTGTCAAATTTGAAAGAGAATTTAAGATTTCTAAGAACTAAAATAATAATAATAATAATAATAATGATAATGATAAATAGAGAGGGGGAAAAAAGCTAATAAAAAAAATTTCTAAGAACTCACCTGCTTGCAATAAGGCCTTTTGCCTAGTGGGGCTACTTAAGAGAATAGTAAATTAAAGGGGGTCTTGTTCCTTGATAAATAGCTTACGAATAATTTGGGTGGCCTAAAGACCGTAAGTTATTAGGGATGTGCTTATAAATGCAAATATAAATAATATATCACTTGCTCAAGACCCTTTCTAATGACCTAGCCTGGACCTCCACATTGTTGGGTACTGTCTGCTACTGGCCGAGTAATTGCCATTTTTGGCAAAGACCACCCAGGACAGGGGCTCAGAGTCCAGGGGAGGGCTGGCCGGCCTCTGTAACCTGGTGTCTGCGGAATCGGATCGGAGGGAGTGCATTCAATTCAGGAGGGTCACTTACGACTGAGTTTTTCATCATGGCTTTGACTGTGAAGCCCTCAGAAACCAGGGAGTGAGGCTGGTGCGCCAGGAGCGGCTGCTGCGCCTGCAGCTTGGTCCTCCTCTTCGGCATCTTCTCTGGGCATTTGTTTACGCTCAGGGTCTCTTTTTCTGCCACCATCTTCCTAGAAAATGTCTTGTTCTCATAAAACGTGTAGTAAAAAAATCAGTGGGTTTTACGGACGTGAAGTCGGGGGAAAAATGTAAAAAGGCGCGCTAATGGTAGAAATTCAACCCTTCCTAGTGCCCAGCTGATGGAGATGTTTGGCAGCTCCCAGGTGAAGGGAGTTGAGGGGAGGGGAGGGGCGGGAAGAGGGCAGGACCTTGGCCGGTGCTGCAACGGGCTTCCAAAGGTTAGCCTCCTGTTGCTAAGCAACGTGTCAACACTGCGGAAATGGCTCCACCCCCAGTGACGTTCGTTTCCTGGGACTTAACCCGGAAGTGCGGCAGACAGCAGGCGGCGGGCAGCGTGAGCAGAAACTGGACGCTAAAACTACGACTCCCAGAAGGCTGTGGGCTGCTCACGGTCTGCGCGTGCGTACTCCGACGGCCGGGCGCAGGGGCGGAGAGTCCGGCGGACTTAACCCCGGAGCGCTCTGCCCGAGTGAGGCGCGGGCGGGCGCCCGAGCGCGCAGAGGCCCCCTGTTGTCCAGCAGTTTGCACCTGCCCAGTGACCATGATCGGTACGTGGTGCCTGTCAGGTACAGCCTCTCTGCGCCGCCCTGCGCCCCGCTGTGGCGCCGCGCCGGTCCTCGGACGACGGGGACCCCAGGGTGCCCCTCCCGCCGTCAGGTGCCAACTGTCAGAGGCAGCTTGGCGGTGTCCGCGCCCCCGGGTGCCCGCGGGGCTGCGGGAGACTGTGGGTGCGGCTGTCAGCCCCCCGCGCACCCCTGGTTTGACAGGCGGTCCCCCGCGACCACTTGGCGAGGGAACCTGGCGCGCGCCGGTGCACCTGCCCCTGCCCTCCCCCGAGGGGACGCTGGCCCCGCGGTCCCGGGACGGGCGCGCTGCCTGCCAGGCCCAGGTGGGCGCGCAGGCCCTTGGGGCGCCGTGGCCGCCGCCTCCCCGCTCAGCGCGCAGACCCTGCGGTCCCGTCCGGTCCGGTCCGGTCCGCTGTCGGGGCTGGGAGGGAAGCCCTGGCCCAGCATTAAGGAACTGAGGGAGCCTGGCGGCGAGGTTGGGACCCTCAGGCGTTCCTGTGGCTGGAAGGAGTGTTTCCTGCTGAATCTCTATTGGCGGTCTGGCGCGAAAGAATAACTAAGAATCGGTAATGGCAAGGATGAAAACTTTGCATCATGAATGAACCCGACGAATTCATTATGAAAAGTCCCTAAACACGACGGCCTGGGTGCCGCACGGCGAGGAGGCGCTGGAAGGGGCCGCTTGGTTCCGATGTGAGCACGCAGTCTTCCCAGCTCAGGGAATGTTAGGCAAACGTGGTTCCAGGGGTGCCTCTGAGCATCAGTGCGAATGCACAGCGTGGAGTGAACACACGCTTCCCAGTGCCCCCCAGGAATCCTTAGGGGGTTGATGGTGACAGAGCCTAGAATATGTACCAGTTTGTGAGCTTATTTGGGGATTATCTCCAATAAGCGCCATTTGAGAAACACTTGATTGCAACTAATGCATCTGAAGTCAGATGTAGTATGATTTATATTCAACGTAATCCAGTGCATGGTTAATTTAAAAAGAAACAAATTTATGACAAAGCTATAGATCAGTGGTTCTCAACCTTGGCTGCACATTAGAATCACCTGGGAATCTTTTTAAAATCCTGATTTATGGGCCTCATCCTCCGGAAATTCTGTTTCTTTGTTACTAATGTTGTGGCCCCACCCCATAACAAAGATCTAAAAATCATCACTTAATTTCAAATTGAGTATCTAAACAGCAGTTCTCAACCTGTGGGTCGCGACCCCTTTGGCGGTTGAACAACCCTTTCACAGCGGTCGCCTAAGACCATCCTGCATATCAGATATTTACATGACGATTCATAACAGTAGCAACATTACAGTTATGAAGTAGGAACGAAAATAATTTTATGGTTGGGTCACAACATGAGGAACTGTATTTAAAGGGCCAGAAGGTTGAGAACCACTGACTAATAAATGATTACATAAATAACTATTGGGGTGAAATTTGTTTAGGCAGTTTTGTTTAGTTTTATTACTATTATTATTATTATTTAGAGACACAAGAAGAAAGAGTATGGCCTTGGGATTTGATGATTAGACAGTTATTAGTAAGTGGTAATGACATGAAGGATTTAAAGTGGATTTTTAAAAGTTCTTTTTCATACCCTGGCCAGTTTTGCTCAATGGTTGGTGCGTCGGCCTGTGGTTGGAAGGGTTGCAAGTTCGATTGCGGTCGGAAGCATGTACCTAGGCTGCAGGCTCCATCCCTGTAGGGACGCTGGCAGGAGGCAACCAGTTGGTGTGTCTCTCTCACGTTGATTTTTCTCTCTGTCTCCCCCCACCTTCCACTGACTTTAAAAATCAATGAGAAAAATATCCTCGAGGATGAGGATTAGCAACAAAAAATGTTTTTGTCCTATTCCAGCTATTGCTTTTAATAGTGTAAATTACAACTTAAGTAACTAAATGTATGTCCCATCCTAAGAAAAGCACCTTACGTCTAACAAACAACCAGGAGGACAATGTGCGATAAATGATTTATGTAACTAGTTGCCTTGCTTATGACTACCGGTAGGCACATTTTAACAAAAACCCCAATTGCTCCTGGGGCCGGCTGTGTGGGACAGTGGTGCAGGTGCGTGGGAACGGGCGCCGTGGGGGGGAAGGCTGGGCTCGAGGGGTCTCCAATTGCTGTTACAGCTTTGGAGTGGGATAGGCATTATGGTTCACACCCAGTATGCGCTGGATCAGAATGCACATAACTTCATACCTGGGGGGTTGTCTTTTCTGTGTAAACACCTGTGCTCCTCAGAACTTGCCCATTTCATGTCTGTGCTCTCTGTAATGCTACACCTCCTGCAATGCAAATAGCACTCTTCCACATTCTTTATATCTTAGCTCCCTTTGGAGGAAAACCAGGAAGCGGGTTGCTTGGTAGAACAGGAGTAAGGCATTACCTCTCTACCAATACAGCTGTCTTGGCACTGAGACCTTTTCAAAGCACGTACATTTCTCCCTTGGATAATGATTGATATGTCAACTGCCCTGACCTAGACAGCTACAGAAACACAATCTAACTTAAGTCTGAAAAATGATGACTGAGAAGTATGGAGAAGGTCTGCAGGATAATATAAGCAGCATGGAAAACCCTTAAGAAAATTCAACTTAGAAAAATGTCATTCTGGCACCTCTATATTTTTTATTTGACCCCCTTTAACCTCTCCTTCCCCCTACCCTCCTTTCCACCTGGTAACCCCCATACTATTGTCTGTGTCAGTGAGGTTTGCTTATTTTCCTTGTTTGTTCATTTGCTGTTTTCAGTTTTATATCCCAATATGAGTGACATCATATGGTCCTTGACTTTTTCTCTCTAATGTATTTCCCTTAGCGTGATATTCTGATGCTCCATCCATGTTGTCGTAAGTGGCAGTATTTCATCTTTTCTGGTGGCTAAGTAGTATTTCATTGTATATATGGATCATATCTTCTTTATCCAATCATCTATTGAGGGACACTTTGGTTGTGTTCATGTCTTGGTCACCTTGAATAATGCTGCTGTGAACATAGGAGTGCATATATCTTTGCAAATAAACGCTTTCAGAAATTTCTGGGAGGTACTCAGGGATTCTGGGTGATATGGTAACTCTACTCTTAATTTTTTAGGAACCTCTATACTGTTTCCCATGGTGACTGTACCAGTTTACATTCCCATCAACAGTGAATGAGAATCCCCTTTTCTCCACAACCTCTCCAACACTTGTTCCTGAATTGTTGGTAACAGCCGGTCCAGCAGGTGTGAGGGGGTCTCATTGTGGTTTTGATTTGCATTTCCCTCACAGCTAGTGATGGTGAGCATCTTCGCATGTCTCTGTTGGCCTTTGTGCGTCTTCTTGGGAGAAGTGGCTGTTTAGTTCCACTGCCCATTTTTTAAACTGGATTTTAAATTTTTGTTGTTGTTAAGTTATATGAGTTCTTTATATATTTTGATATTAACTCCTTATTGGAGGTGGGTGTTGTGTGAAAATACCTTCTCCCATTCTGTTGGTTGGCCTCTATTAAAAATATATCTCACCCTTTTTAAAAAAAAATAGCAATTCTTTGTATTTTAATTTTAAAATTTTATTTTTTTTTGGTCTTTTTAAAAAATGTGTTTAACAATTTTATAGTGATGTTTGTGGTCCAGTGTCAGAAGTGAAAGTGAATGGGTAACCCCGGCCAGTTTGGCTCAAATGGTTGGAGCATCCTCTCATACACCAAGAGGGGGTGGGTCTGATTCCCAGTCAGGGCTCTTACGGGAGGCATCCTATCGATGTTTCTCTCTCTTTCATCCATAAAAAATAAAACAAAACCGTTATTTAAAAAATAAATTAATAAAATAAGGTGCATGCATATGTGTACAACAATGTTGCCAGTATTGAACTTCAAAGTCAGCGTCTTCTTCTTTAAAAAGATTTTGATTTAAAATAACACAATAACTGGAACATAGTCTCCTCTGTACCTTGTTTCACTTAACCTCTCCTAGAAGACTACTTGTCTGCATGTACAGATCTACCCCCTGATAATTCCTGCCTAGTCTTTCATTTTATGGATGTACATAAATTATGCAAATACTCTCCAATAAATGAGCCTTCAGTAAGTTTACAGACAATTGTTATCATCAGGAATGTTTGTGTCTATATCATTTTATTTGCATATGTTAGCATATATGTAAAGTAAGAACCTTATTACAGTGTCTGGCTAAGTTTTCTAGATGAAGCCTTTGTAAGATTTTGAATTTTGCCAAGTATTTTCGGTTGTCCTAAAGTAAACCACTCTTCTACACTCCTGTCGACCACCACAAGGTAGCAGAGACCTGCCCTGCCCCTCTGGGCTGAAAGATTACAGAAAGACATCCCCCGGAGCACCGACTGGGTCTCCTCTCTCCTTTATACCCGCTCCCCAACCCCAGGTCCGTGCCTTTGAGCAGGCCCAGCTGCACAGCTGTCCTCGGAGGCCCTGACCTCCTGCAGTGTTTGTAGGACTGCCCATTCCCCCCGTGTCCTCTAAATTTTTATTTTTACCTTGTGATAGCTGAAAGAACAGGGTATTTTAATTTGTGTAATGAATTTATGAAGGAAAACCTCTCACTTCTCATAACACATTACTTTCATGAAAGCAGATCCAACCATTGAGCACCTACTGTGTGCCCGTCCTGCTCCAGGTGCCAGGGATACATGAGTGAGAAACACACTCACACACACACACACACACACACACACACACAATGCCTGCCATCATGAATGGGCAGTCTCCCTTCACTGTTTGCCCACGAATCTAGATATTTGCTTTCAAGCTTGCAGGTGGTGAACTCTCAGCTCTCAGAATTGACATTTCTGGTTGAAGATACTGTGTTCTGCTACCTGTCCTGCCATTTCCGTAATCTCGGATGAAAGGTGACCTACAGCCAGGCGCCCATCGTGGGCTCTCAAGCCTCCACTTGTGACGGGTAGACTTGTGTCACACAAGAAGTTCTACTACATTTTTGCAGAGAAGATTTTGCATAATTATAT